TGAACACTGCAGAAGAAAGCTGGTATAGTTTCAATGTCTAAAGATAATCCTGATGCTACAGTACCAAACTCCACTCTAATGCCCTCTGCACCTTCAACATTAATTTATTTTTAATAGTAGAGAACTCCTCAAACATGACTTATTTTCTAGTGCAATACAAATTATTAAACATTTTTGATAATGAACACCTTATCTCAAATTACTTGGTATTTTCAAGACTAAATTTTGTAGAGTGTGAAACAGACTTGTTATTGACTTACACAAGAACATGAGGCTCTGGGAAGAAAAGAACCCAATAAAGGAAGAACCTCCTGTCCCAAGCTCACTGGACGGCAGCTGTGTTTAATTAGCTTCAACAGATAGCGGTTTACTTTTTAATAAATAAAAATGAAGTAGATTTTTAGAAATAACTGAAAAACTAAAACACATATCACTCATGTTAAACTGGGAACCACTAAATTTTCTTTTCCTTGTAGAAAAGTCAGAAAAGGGGAATTTGCCATAGTATCAACTATCAATACATTTTATTTTTTAAATTATTTTTAATTTTTATTTTTTTTTTTTTTTTGAGACAGCGTTTCTCTGTGTAGCTTTGCGCCTTTCTTGGAACTCACTCTGTAGCCCAGGTGGGCCTTGAACTCACAGAGATCCGCCTGCCTCTGCCCCCGAGTGCTGGGATTAAAGGCATGCACCACCACTGCCCGGCTCAATACATTTTCTTAATATAAGTAAAGTCAATTCAGCATAACAGCTTTTGGAGTAACTTAGAAATTACTCAAAATCCCTAGGTAGCTATAAACACTTAAGTCTTCATTCTGAAGGCCTACAGCCATTAATAAAAATGTCAACTCTTTTTGATGCAACTAAGTCTTGATGCAACTCTTTTTAACACACAAGTCTTTCTTAAAAATACAGTGCCAGTCGCTTCCCTTAATATCATGGAACAAAACTAATATATGACAAAGGGAAATCATTATTTTTAAAATATGTAAAAGCTCAAGTGAGATGAGTAATTTGTTAGTACATTTGTCTCAAAGTGAGACCAACAATATCCTCAGAAGTTCTGCTACAAATCATAGAGTTAGATGTGCTTAATTCTACATCATGGATTACTGCTATCACCTGGGGCTGGCTGTTCATTTACTAACACTCTCCACGCTCAAAGCAATAATTAAAAATTTCCTCGAGATTTGCTGGCATAAGCTTTTGGTATTATGGTATATTTGTAGAGACATACATAATGAGTGAGTAACACTTGGTTCATGAGTAAAAGAAACAGAGTTGACAGCCTACAGTACAGACAGAACATGTGTATTTAATGTTAGCAGTGAGTAACAGGAGTTGCCATGTCAGTGGCAGCCCAGGACACATTCTTACTGAAGATGGTGGGATCTTCAGGACCCAGCTCTGTCTTTTCTAAATGTTTATTACAAATCTAGTCCATGGTTCCAACTACTATCAGGAAATGCAGCAGAGCTACAGGGATTACTTCCTGTAAGATACCCAAGAACATGTGAGTAGGTGGAAACAACATCCAGTGACCTTCTCAGGAGTCATGTTGGCCACTTCAACTAGCATGCTGCCCACAGGAAAACCAGCATTAATACATAAACTGAGGTTGACTGACAGTTTATTATTGTATCTTTATCTCTATGCCTAGAATTCTTTAGTGGTATTTATTTTTGCTACTGATTAAGCAAGATTACAGTATCTGAAAATTATAACATCTCAGGTCACATTGGAGACATGAATGTGAATATTGGTCTATCAGCAAAACAAGCATTCTCTTACTCATCAAACAATTTTTGGTCTTTAAATAATCTTAAAATAAATTGTCCTTCTAAAAATAATCCATCGCCAATTGACAGTTTATGTGTAGGATCAGAAATATCAAAGTTAAATCACTGACTTTCCTTAAAAAGCATATTTTAAAAGTTACATTTTAAACAAATATCTGAAAATAGAGTCAGGAAAGCTCTCTGCAAGTATGACCCTAGGAGAGCAAAAATCTAAAAGCTTTACATTTCTGTCTCACTAAAGAATTTGGTGTTTTTTATGGAAACAGGACCAACATGGAGACCGTCACCAAGACAGCTTTAGGTTCCAAGTACATGAAAGCTAAGACCTGAGAGAGAGAGCTACAGAATAAAACAGGTGACTATTTCTCAGTTGGTAAAAAGATAATAATTTTTAAAGATTTAGTTGTTATTTTTATCTATGCATATGTGTGTCCTTGTGTGAGTTTATGTGTACCATGTGTGTGCAGTGTTCACAGAAGCAAAAAGAGGACAATATATCCCCTGGAACCGGAGTTACAGATGGTATGAGTGCTGAGAACCAAGCCCAGGTCCTTTGCAAGCCCAATAAATGCGCTACAAGAATAAATAACTTTACATCTGCATTTCCAATGCAAGTGCACACTGAGAGTTACTACTATGTGTAAGAAAGCCATCTTCCAATAAAGCCACTCGTCTGTTCTTCTTTCATTATTATACAAAACATATTTATTTTCCTACCTCCAGATGTTTTACCATTTTAAACAGTCTCAAGTGTTTAGACTCCTTTCCAAATTATCATGAAGGTGTTACCCTGGGGTCTAAGTCTCTATCGATTTCAGATGAATTCCAGCCCACTCAAAAGTAGTATTCAATAGCTACAGTTTTTTATCCCTTCAGGATCCCTTGTCTGGAAAGTTTCACAAACCATCAATTTCATTTGCTACAACTACTAATAAATATTTAAAAAGATAATCTTATTCTTTAAAAATTTATTCATTTATAATTCTTTTGCTTATTTATGCTTATTGTTGGCCTAAACTAACCCAAACCAAATCCCCAGATTCAGATTTCTTTGAAACTTAGATTTGGGGAGCTGGAAAGGATATTAAAGAGCATCCCCTCCAACCCTTTCATTTACAGTTGAGGACAGCAAGCCCAGAACAGATAGCTGAGTGACTTTGGGCATGTTTCCTACCAGTGGAACAGCCAGAAGCTGAAGCCAGGTCTCCTGATGCCCAAAGAGGAGCCAGGTCTCCTGATTTCTAATCCAAGGATCTTTCCATTACACACACTGACTCTGTTCTTTGAGGATGTGTTGGGCTGCTCACACTGATCAAACCTCTTTGAGAATGATCACATTGGTTAAACAGAACACCTTGATGACCTAGTCACCCAACACTGGGTCATGCCTGTGGAATCAGGCTACACTGTACTCACACACCCTTTCCTCCTGTCCCAACATCTCCATGGCCCCTTGTTGATCACACTATCGATTACAACTCACTACTAACCTTCTTCAGAGCAGTGTATGATTTAGCCCCTAACAAGTTTCATAAAAAATGAACAATTTCACCAACCTTTATAAATGGAACAATAACTTTTATTAACTATAATCCAGGAACTATGCTAAGTACTATATATATTTTAAATATTTCCTCCCACAGCAACTTGCAAAACAGACGCAAAGGCTGTATGTCAGAACAATGAACAGAGAGTTCAGGGCCAGGAAGCAGCAGTGGGAAGTCAAGCATCAACAGATGCTCTAGAGCTGTGCTCTGGATTTCTGCATCACAATGCCAATGACAATTCGAATCTGCAGCAGATGACTGGAAGTTAATAATGACTAACTTAACAGTTGTTAGTGTGCCCTGGAAAGAGAAAAGCAAAGGAGGCAACAACTTCCTCTATTTGAGGAAGTCTCTTCCTTGTGTTAGAGATAGCCCCGTGGTGAGGTGGAGGACCTTGCTGAGGGGAGGGGGTCCTGAAAACCTTTCTGAAGGGTATATTGTCTATAACCACATCTGGTCATCCTGGTTAAACCATAAAGTTGGTCAAAATGAGGTGCTTATGACACAGAAAACGTAAATACCTCCCACAGACAAATATTTTCTTTAAAAAGCAATTAAGTATAAAAGCCAGCCAGGCGGATCTCTGTGAGTTCAAGGCCAGCCTGGTCTACTGAGCGAGAACCAGGAAAGGCACAAAGCTACACAGAGAAACCCTGTCTCGGAAAAACCAAAAAAAAAAAAAAAAAAAAAAAAAAAAAAAAAAAAAAAAAAAAAAGCCAAGATGAGCAGAGAAAACTCTGCAAAAAGGCTAATGGGTTCCCAGTCTTTGCTAGAGATTCATCCCGAGAGGTGCAGTCTGTAAGCCCCGACTTCCTAGCTAGACAGTGAACCTGTGCCTTGCAGGATTGCTTCAGTGCTAAACAGTGTAGGCGGGTCCACTCTGCCAACCACACAGCACCACACAAGCTCTGCTTACTCCACAGTCAAGTCTTATGTTCTGAAAACTCTGTAAGAGCATAAAGTTGTGACTCGCGCTTCTCTGGGGAAATCTACTACTGGTGATGCTGTGGCTTAATATATGACGAGCCTTTAAATGTACAACTCTATACCCTTCACTGTCGGCACCTTCGCCCTCAGAGTTCACCAGACAAAAGCAAAGGCACCTTTAGCAGGCAGTGTCATTTCCCTCAACAACGATGCTTTTTCAAAAAGGCACACTAAAAAGAAAACAGAATTCAGTTCAAAGCTAAATTACTTCGGTCAGCCCATTTGGACAAAGCGTAGGCATTCTCCCTGAGTTCAGGCTCTGAGCAGTTTTGGAAGGTGCACTGTAAAAGTAGGGCAAGAAAGACAGTTTTAGAGGCAGATTTCATAGAGCCTGCAGCCTGAACCAAAGCACGGGTCAAAGTGTTCAGCTGAAAACTGACGAGTCAAAAATAAATCAGACCAGACCAGAAACAGTATAAGCAACTCGACCGCACATCTCCACATTCCAGCACAGAACGCTGGAGTATGAAACACAGCTAATGTGAGAGGCACTGGGAAATTCATTTAAATTTCCACAGGCTTCGGGTTTCCCAGATGAAAACTCCCAATAAAGAAGGTCTTTCTTTCCAGGTGTTGTCACATGCTTGGGAGAAGGACACTGTGAGAGGAGGTAAAACACATAAGACACTGTTATCTTTGCTCACAAAGTGATATCTTAGAACCTTACCTAATAGATTGGTTAACCACAAGGCCAAGTCTTCTTTCATCGGCAGCAAATTAGCTTCATGTCTGCTGGCCAGCCACTGGCTGTACTGATGCATATCAGACAGGCCGGGTCCGCTGCGAACCTTGGGGCTCAGGGCAGTGCACATCATTTATCCACTCCTAACACCTGGTGTGGAGACAGAAGAGCAACAGCTTTTCGTACAGGTTAAAACTGTAGAAATGCCACCACGACGACATTGTAATAGGGCCCATCCACGGGCTTCCATGATGTCAGAGCAGGTTATTAATTATTAAACCCAGGAGACATTAGTTGTTTTATTCATTCACTTTTGGCCAGCCACCTGGTAACGGCAACAATCAAAGGTCAAGGAGAAAATCAAACAATAAATGCTTAGCTCGGGTAAAACAATGTATTTGGAAAGGACCAGCTTCAAGGGCAAGAAATCCCATCTATGCAAACACAGTAAAAGGTGGTTAAATTGAGATCTTAGTGTCTAGTTTTTTTTTTTTTTTTTTTTTTTTTAGCCAGAGATTTCTACAGAATTTGAGTGCTGAACATGCACACTAACAGTATTCATACAATTTTTAGTAAACACTTGGGAATTGTTGGTTAGACAGATGCCTAAAATATTAAGCACAGCATGCAGTTTGTTGGTGACTGCAGACTCAAGGACTCACAGTTAAAGTACTAAGTACTGGGTAGGAGAGGAGGGTTATTCAAACAGTCTCCACTACATTTCTGGAAGTCACAGAGGACCAAGACCAGAGGGGTCAGTAGCATAAGCAATCTATTCACGATGTCACAGTAGAGTTAGGCTAGGATCTTGATCTTCAAGCCCCAAGAACTCTTGCTTGAAGACACAGTCTGACAGAATGCATCTGCGGAAGACACTGTTCTAACAACCGCTAGCCCTGGGGGCCTTCGCTCCTCTGTCATGATTTTCTCCTTTCGAGTTTGTTTGTGATCATTCTAGAGTCAAAGTACTTCAGTGTTTTACATCTAAACTAAGCATGGCAGAGAATTTGCCTAGCATGTTAGAAATCCAGTGTTAATGCACAGCACAATAAAAATAAATAAAATAAGATTACTTCATAACCTGATCACTTCAGTGTATGGATAGCACAAATCTTTATTTGAATCATAGGAAAAGAATTTAAGTAAATAAATACTTTAAAGTATATAAATATATTTAAGTATTTAAATTGGCCTTAAGTATAATGTCTTTGTCTGAATTATTTTTTTGGGGGGGATAGTCAAAAGTAATCCAAGATGGCCTCAAAATGCTATATATAACTACTATATAACTGAGGGTGACCTTGACCTTCTGATCCTGCCCCACCTCGTGAGTTCTGGGATGACAGGTATGCCCCACCATACTGGTATATGGAATGCTGGGAAACAATCTCAGGATCTCTTACATGCTAGCCAAGCACTCTCTTTTTGAGCTACAACTCCAGCTCCTGTATGAATTATTTGAAAGACCTGATGCTACTTAAGTAATGTAAGTATTTTGAAGCTGTCTTTTATCTGATATAAAATTATTTCACTTTTGTTTACAATAGCTCAATCATTTCCTTTAGAGTCTACTTTACCCTGACCAGCTCTGGCTGCAAATCAGTAGATACATAAAATAACCAAAAGAAGTATAACCAAGTGACAACAAACACAAGTGTATTTGTAACAGGCAAGTCCTTAGATGCATATAATATTCTAGATATTGCATCTGAGGATTTCAAAGTGACTAAGTTACATGCTCTCTTTGGCGTTTTACTCTTTCAGACTTTGCACAGTATTCCTTTTTAGTTATTCTCAAACTTTATAATTTATTTAGGTTAATTTCTTTTAAGAGTTTACTTTTGAATAAATAATTTACTTCCATTTTTTTAATGCAAAATGTGGTTATCATCAAAATCTTAGAAAAGACTGTTTGGAGAGGTAGTAAATACATAAAGTATATAATAAATACACAACTGAAAGGTATAATTTCATTTCTGAAGCACTTACTCTTTTGACGTTCTCTAAGTATCTGAAATGAAGGATTAGGAAGATGATCTGTATTTACTACACCTTGTCATAGGCTACAAGTTTGTTAATGTAAGAATTAGAATGCTGCTGTTGTTTACTCTCTCCCAGTTAATAACATCATTGCTCAGAGTTTCTCTAAACTTCTGTGATTAAACGTCAAAAACACCTGAAATATTTTCAATCCCAATTTTTTAAAAATTATGTTTATACCCAGCAAAACAATACCTCTGTCGGTAGCTAATCAGGATCCTACAGGATGGTTAGCCTGTCAACACACATGTGATCAATCATACACCTAAGCACATGAGTCATACATTTAAATAACTAATTGAAATCTTAAAAGGGTTACCTCTAAAATACCTCCTTCTCCAGACACAATCTCTCCCACTACTTCCCTGAAAGTGAGATAAGGTCTCACAGTAACTCTACCTACACCCTATTGTGTGCCCTGTGACTCCCATTGAAGCTTCAGAGCCCAGTGTCACGCTACAAAGGCAAGAAGACGCCTCGGGTTCTGAAGCTCATTGTCTAGCACAGAATCCATCAGGGGATCGCTTACAGGGAGCCTAATGGCATGTAACAGTTGCAGTGAGTCAGAGGCACACAATCCTTCCCCTCAACATTTCTGAACAGTGAAGTTGTTATTTCCCTGACAGTAGCACCTTTATTTCCCATGCAATCTCTCTTGTGTTTCAACAGAAATGTAATCCAAACGATCTCCTAATATGAACAGATGAATCACTAAAAACAAATAACGATAATTAAGCTAGTTTTATTTTGGTATTTTGTACATAACCACAATTTTAGTAGAGATGGTCAGTACAAAGGGGGTCACATTTTCCCAGAGGCCAACGTGAGAGAAAGAAAGCTTAATTGATAATTCAAATACTATAAAGATTAGAGAACTAAACTATGGCAAATACAGAGGGACACAAGGGTATTTTAAGAGACAGGACTTGTCCAAGTCCTCTCTAAAAAGAAGAAAGATGAGCAACCTAATTTCTCCTGCTCCATTATTCATATTTAAAATCATCACTATCCTGAGCATGACTCAGTGGGTTTCCTTAAAGTCTCTACATTCAGGCCTTAGAATTTGGCTGAAATCAAGCCAGAAGGTGGTGGTGCACTACTTTAATCCCAGCACTAGGGAGGCAGAGGCAGGTGGATCTCTGTGAATTCGAGGCCAACCTGGTCTACAAAGAGAGTTCCAGGACAGCCAGGGGTACAGAGAAACCGTCTTGAAAAAAAACAAAACAAAACAAAGAAAGAATTGGCTGAAATCAGATAGGAAACAGAAATAGACCCAGCTAGAAGGAAAAAAATATGGAGTCTGAGGACTTCACCGCATGGTGAGGTAGACTCTCATTTAAATGACTGAACTGGAATGAATGAATGGATGGATGGAAGGAAGGAAGGGAGCAAGCAAGAAAGCACACAGAGAGGGAGGGAAGGGAGGGATGGAAAAAAAGACGAGATAATGACAGCAGAAGGGGGTTTGAGGGGGAAGAGGGCAAGTGGAGGGAAACAGGCTACAATAATAGGAAATTGAGATGATCAAAGAATATTAAACATATTAGTTATAGAATTAATACATGATAAAAATAAAGATATGAATTGCTTAGCAAATAAAATCTAGTTTAATTCTTAAAAGTTTTAAAGTTCATAATAGTTAAATAAAAAGATAGCTATGAAATTTGATCCTTTTATAATCTGTAATAAATATTGAGTGTGTCTAGATGAACTGCGTTAGATCCTAAAGAGAAACTAAGGAAAAGATCATGCCTGTTCTTTGGAAGGCATTTAAAGTTTCCAAAACTATAAAACATGTCAAGAGTAGATTTAAAGACAAGAAAGAAAATGATCAATGAGACACTGAACAGAAAAGTCAGGAGAAGGAGAACAAGTTTTCACAGCTTAACAATTAAAGATATTTTCAATAAAATTTACATAATCCAAATCTTTTAAAAGATCAAATGACAACTTTGTTAAGTATTAAACTCAACCAACTGGAAAGAGTAAGACCTCAAATATGTATACGAATTCACTAAATGGAAATTCCTGCAAGCTTTCTGTGACTAAACGTTGGTAACTGAACTGTAAGGACTTGGAATGAATAAAATGAATCTCAAAGGGGAAAACACACAGACATGTATACAAAATCCTTCAAAGATTGTGTATTTCCCCTTTCTTTCCATAGGAAAGGTGACTCTGGAATAACAATTATGGATGTGATGAGACTTGGGCAACCCCAAGAGAAGGAGAAAAAGTTAATGAGCCTGAAAGTAAAACATCACTTTTAAAGACTGTCTAGCCCATTACTCCAGAGTGCAGCTGAAGACATAGATTTTACTCTGAAAAGAAAAAAAAAAAAAAGAATTCTTCCATGCCACCTAGAGGTGTGCTGTGATTATGGCCAAAATGTTTCATGTTTTTTCCTATCTCTAGAAGGCTAGCATGACAAAAAAAAAAAAAATTAAAAAAAACATACTGCATTATTATATAGAAAGAAAAAACAGAAGCAAAAAAAAGCCATTATACTACTTGTCTTCTGTGAGATTCAACTAAGGAAGGCTAATGAATGGATAGAGTAAAGGAGATGAAATCCAACATCCTAAGGTGAAATAATGGCACCATGACCTCGCCATTAAGAAACTGCACATACCATAGAATTTTTCTCTTTGTATCTGAGTTGTTCACTGTGTACCGTGGACATGAGCATTTCAAAGATAATTATGAAGATTCAACATTTACGACATTACTTGGCAAATATTTCAAATTCAGTGTATTCTATATGCAATCTAAATCATCACCATTAGAAAACATGACAAAATAAAACATCCAATGACTTCTTTTGGGAAGAAATTCTGTAACAAACTAGGACTTTCTACATAACTCAATCACTAATGTGAACAGATAGAAAGGATGGGAATGTCAGCAGGTAAAGTATGAATAAATAACCGCATGTCATTTGAGCTCCCAAACTCTCTTCATGCTGAGGATGTTGTACCCAAGCTTATGTGCAGAAGTTTAAGCAGCAAAATGAGTTTATATGGGGTTAAAAATGGTAACAAAGTACTGCACTTTGATATGAGTTAAGGATCATAAGCTATTAATATGACAAGATTCTGTGCATATTGAAACAAATAGGTGTCGACAGACACTACCCAAACCTCCTTTCTGTCTCCCCTTCTCCCCTCATCTCCTTTACAAAAAGCTACTGAAAGTAGTGAGGCCCAGTGAATTGCAGCCAAGAGACCCGCCTTTAAAGGCGACCTTGGCTCTCTTCTACAATGTTGCTCACTTTTAACCATTAAAGTTTATATGCTAAAGGTTCCAAACAAGGCAGAAACAAAGATTTTAGATCAATAAGACTGCCTTTTAAAATAAAAAACAAAATGAATGCATCAATCCAAAAACTCTTCCAAAATTAAGCAGGAGAAGATGTCAGTTTTGAACTAGACTCAAAGAATAGAAGTCCAAGGTTGATTTGTTCCACTTCCTGAAAATTTTATTGTCATGTGACTTATTTTGACCAACCAGTAACATCTCTACAAAATGTAGCTCATCAACCAATGTTCAAAATGTAAAATGTTTGCTGTTGCTATTTTTCCTTCTATTAAAAACAGATTATATTCCTCATTAATAAATCTGATTATGAATTCCCTTCCTTCTACTCCTCCCAGTTCCTCCCCACCTCCCCTTCTGTTCGGATCCACTCTTTTCCTGTCTCTCATTAGAATATTGTTGCTATTTGATTAGTTGTGATTTAATTTGGTTTGACTATGAGCCCAGTCTACACCAACTCACTATGTAGTGCACTAGCTTGGCCTAAAATTTAAGTACTCCTGCATCAACCTCCCAAGTGCTGGGATCACATGTCTGCACTCCCATTCCAAGTTACGAATGTGAAATCTCATTAAAAATGCCAAATCAGAAAATAAAGTCCACAATTGATGGCATCACAAAAGCAGTTTCAGCTCTTGTGATGGGGCTGTAGCCTCTGCCAAGTGACTAAATCAAACATAAATTGAGCAAACATCAAGCAAAATTACATGAAACTTTAGTTAAGCGACTAGAGAGCAGACTCAAAAGGCCCTTAGGAAATCTGCATGGGAGAATTCTCATATATTCATAAGAGGCTGGTAGCCTAGGAAGATATTTTGCCCAAAGTAATGGGATATTCACACAGTCATTAAATCTCTGTACCCTCCTTGTACATAGACTGTACAAGGAAGGCATCTCTTTCTTAGTGACAGCCCCATAGTGACTTATCTTGGATAAAATGATTACACACACACACACACACACACACACACACACACACACACACACACACATCTCTTCCTCAAGACAAAATATTTCTGGCAGTTGGGATTTTCTTTTAAGTCATTGTTCCCCAAATCCTACTAAACCATTCTCCCAAACAGTGAAGTGCAGACTTTTAGAACTCTGCCAGATTAAACTGAAACACAATTTGAGTAGAAAACCATCTAAAGTCATTAAGTGGAAATTGTAATGGCTCACATCAAAAGTTTATGAAAGTTGATTTGGCAAGCCTTAATTCATGAGAAGATTTGCATTTTGTTCATAACATAAAAATTTTATTTTAACTCAAAGGCAGGAATGAACTATCAGAATTCAGCATTCTCTTCAGACATACATGCAACAAATATACGTACAATGTATGTGCTATATATATTACATATGTGCATGATAGATAGATATAGATAGATAGATGATAGATTCATCATGTAAAGAGAAAACAATAGAAAATCTCAATTGAATTGCCCCTGAAAACATTTAACACAGGGAGTTTCCAAGCACCTTAACCCACCTTGGCAAGAGCTATTTCTACTCTTTCTCTCCTGTCCTTTCCTCTAGTCTAATAACACTGAGTGGAAAACTTCAGTAGCCGTTCAAGAAAACCGCAAGAAATTGGCTCTTGTTTGGGACACAATATCAAAGCCACAAAAATAATGCTGTAATTTCTGCAAAAAGTTTAAACAAATTTTCCTGGAAACATGTTGTTAGAAGCATACCAGTTGTTTTAACCAACTCAAGTCTTCAGAGGGCTCCAGAACCTGCACAGCCGACCTCCAGTCTGGAAGTTCTAAAAGGCAAGTTGCTGCAGGTTACATTAAGTCCTGAAGCTTTCCCACACCTTCAAGCTCAAAGTTTAACTAACCTTGGTCCCAAGATGCTAGCAAACTCGGTGGGCAATCCCAAGTCCTTTGACTCTGGTGAAGTGAATTCTGCCATATGAATTTATTTCCCAGCAAAGCACAGTCCACAGCACAAAGTTGGGTGCTTATCGATAAAATCAACGAAGAGACACAACTCAAAGCTCAGTGGGTGAAATGCAAACTCCCTCAGAAACTTCCCAGACAGTGCTCAGCACAGGCTCCGCTGGGTATGGTCAAGGCGCAGCACCCCAGTCTTGGCCCCTCTGGTTCTTACCTTCTCTTAAGCAGTCAGAACCTGAACACCCATGTTGGAAAGGACCACCACCACACTCTCCACAGCTAGACCAGGGCATCCCTTGAAGAAGGGCTCATTGATGGATGCCAGAGACAAGCTAGGCAAATCAGATGCGAGCTGTAGTTATGAGCACAAGACTAAGAGGTTGGGGAAAAGCAGCAAAGAGCACAGGGTTTGTTCTCAGCCCTGCCTCTCAGAGTCTCCAGGGACAGGTGGGAAGGGAAGGAGGACTTCCTGTGCCTGGCGGATACTCCCAACCTGTCTGAGCCTTTATTTAACACGAGGGGCCAGATGGGTGTCCCTCTGAACACGCAGATCCTATTTCCTCTGCATAAAATCTCATGTGCACAATTCCTCAAGCTTTGTTGGAGAGGTGTGGGATAGTGGGTGGGGAGTCGATTAAAAAAGAAACAAAACAAAAACAAAGTTGAAGATAGAGATAGAAAACACAAAGACTGTGATTAAGAAACAGTAATTGGGAGAAAACCCACCCCACCTCAATGTGTATTGGAATACAGAAAACAGAATGCTGAGAACTGAGTTTGCTCCCATTCTGATCCCACATTAGAAACTCCGAGATGTCTGGACCAAGTCAATCCTTTACAGAGCTGATGTAATTTAATTTTGCCAGGATAATTAACACCTCCAAAGAAAAGTTGGCTCCTTTGCTCCCTAAACGGTTTCAGACTCCAGTCATCTCGGGCTGGGCTAATACGAAATACCACGTTGAAATACAAAATTACGGATAGATAAATTAGCATTTGTTCACACACGTAAGAAGGTTCAACTCTACCCAACTCATTTATAAAGTCACCCCAAAGTGCATTACAACCTCTCCTTCCTCGCTCCCACTTAACCAAACCTTCAGGAAGTGTGACTAAGACCGCCAAACAGCCCACGTCCCTCCCCCCTCCGCTACCACCCCACCCATCCACACAACCGCAGAGCACGCACGGCATTACAGGCTAGCTTGAGCATCACGCATGTGTACATTTATGTCCACGCGCTAATGAGACTTCCTCACTTCCGCCCCTGGTTGGCTGAGCGGTCCCAGCGGGCTTCTGGCGCTGCTCAACAATAGGAATGGAGGGATGGAAGCTGTTTCCAGGGCATCAGGAGGTCCCCCACCGCAGTGAGCACCGCTCACCCTCTGTGCCGCGCTGCTTCCAGGCCCCTCCCCCACGCCCTCCTGCAGTAGCTCAGCGCTGGGACCCCTCCCGGTTTCAGGGCAGGGGTGGAGGGTGGGGGGTGGTGGTGGGGTGCTTCTGGCTGCGTGCTCACCGAGCCCGCCGCTCCCCACTGCTCACTGTAGCTGCTCAGCGGCGCCGGCGCTGCAGGCTGCGCCTCTGCGGCTCCTCCAGACACAGGTCTTGTGGCCCTGGCTCCCCGCAGCCCGGCAGCACAGTGGCGGCAGCTGTGGCCGCGCCGCCCCTCTTCATACTCCTGTGATGGCTCCTCTTGGTGCTGTTTGGGAAAATGATTTTAATCCCTCTCACCAGAAACAGATTTCCTACATTTCATCAGTCCACACGGACCGAGCGGAAGTAAAATGCTTACTTTTTTTTCTGCTGGACAGCAAACGCGGTTGACACTGATTTACCCTTCAAATGGGAGAGATTGTATTACAAGCCGTTGGCAGCAATTCCAAGTTGGGGCCAAGCCCCAGCCCCCTGTCTTTCCCCCAAACACTAACCTAAGAGAGAAGGGGTGGGGAGCAGGGAAAGGATCATATTTAACTTCAGGGTTTTAACAGTAAATGACTTTAGCACAATGCTAAAAATTGGGTGTTGGAGAAGGTTTTCTTTCCTGGCCTGTGAGTTTGCACACTCAGTGGCATGAGCTTTCTAGTAATTTGGGCCAGTGTTCATTCCAAATAGAAGAATGTGATGTCTTACAATTCTGTTTAAATATCAGATTTTAGAAGGGCATGCATGCAGGGCTGTTTCTACTTTAGAAAGGAAATGTGATTCTGTCCTTCCTTTTCTCAGCTACACATAGTTCAGTGTTGTGTTGAGCATCACAGACAATTTAACCCAACTGCTATGTATTAGGACATGAACTTTAAGATGAAAAGCTTTGCACAAAGTGGACAGATGTTGGGCTGTCTCATTCACCTCTGAAGGGTAGTGGCCTCTAGCCGAGTGTCAGGTTTCCACTTCCCACAGTGTCTGCTGCAAGGGATCACACTGTGTTCTTCACAAAATCAGTCATGTACTTCTTCCAGCGTGCATGACTGCAGCACACAAGTACTCTCTGATCACCAGAGACCAGGTATACAACGGAGTGAGGCATGCTCACACCCCTTAACAGAAAACAAAATCAACCACATCAACCACCGGTAAATCCACAACAGCAAAATAATGCAGACAGTTTTAGCTGCCATCAAAAGAGCATTCCACATTTATTATCGCTGCCATCTGGAAGGGTTATTTGTTCTAAAAGATCCAGAAATGGCACAAGTATTTGCATGCAGTGACAGTACAGGCAACAATGGAAAGACTTAGGAGACTGAAGGTTTTCATTTCGGTTAGATTTGCTATTGCAACTGTTGGGTCCACAGCCCTCCTTAGCACCCCAAAAGAAAAAAAAGAAAAAAAGGATCATTCCTCGCATTGAGAATGGAAAGCATCTAAAAATGACATACATAAAAAAACAAAACAAGCCGGGCGGTGGTGGCGCACGCCTTTAATCCCAGCACTCGGGAGGCAGAGCCAGGCGGATCTCTGTGAGTTTGAGGCCAGCCTGGGCTACCAAGTGAGTTCCAGGAAAGGCGCAAAGCTACACAGAGAAACCCTGTCTCGAAAAACCAAAAAAAAAAAAAAAAAAAAAAAAATTGAAAATAAATAAATAAATAAAAAAACAAAACAAAAAATGAAAACAGATAGAACTTGGTGAATTGGAGTGCATAAACATGAGTAACATCATTTCTCAGTTTGACCTAGTTTGAGTTTTCATTGACCCCCCCAAGATACTTTGAATTTCTGATCCTTTACATAAAAAGTTTATATCTTTGATGATAATTTTTTATGACTAAAACATCATCATCCAATAAATGTTAATGTATATGTTTTCAGTAGTTATAAGAGTTCAAAAGTTTACCACCCTAGACTTTCAAAGTCTTTTATTTTAGATAAAATAATCTTGTCTCATTGTTCATTACTTTGTTTAAAAATAGCAAGTTCTGAGATATTTTTGCTGATCAGAGAATAACGCTAAACATGGCTGAGAAAATAAGACTTTCAAGGGCACCGAAAGCCTTAATCACACACACTCCATGCCTCACCATGGTCCATCCTTCCAGATACTTTAAGTTTTTAATTATGCATCATGTCAGTCTCTGTCCTTCAAGGAAGAACCAGGAGGAACAGAGAATTTGCATTGACTTCCTCGACACCTCACAGCTATGCCAAATACTCTTTTGGTGATGAAAGTAACACAGCACAGGTTTTCTGAAGAGGCACTGTGGTGGTTAGTTGCTGTTGTTTTTCCTTTTATTGAAAATAGATATTTTTTCTCACATATCATTACGGTTTTCCCTCTCTCTACTCCTCCCAGTTCTTCCCTATCTCCCCTCCCATCCAGATCCACCCTCTTTCTGTCTCTCATTAAAAAACAAACAGGCTTCAAAGGGATAAGAATAAAATATAATAAAACAAAACCTAACACATCAGAATAGGAAAAAACAAACCAATAGAAGGAAAAGAACCCAAGAAGAAGGCATAGGAATTAGAGACCCACTCATTTGCATACTCAGGAATCCTATAAAAATACTAAACTGGAAGCCACAATATATACGCAAAGCACTTGGATGTTAAAAAGAGAATAAATGTTTTTAAAAAAGTATTTTAAAAAAGCTGATATGACACCAGTTCAACTTTACCATGTTCAAAGAGTTGTATAGGTATGTCTTAAGCGATCGAGCCTTACCATCAACTTGTGGAGAGCAAACTACAGTCTTGGCAACAGACCCTTTTGACCAACAGCTCAATTAGATGTAACCCAGTCCCAGGACTGGAAGCTTCATTTGGTGAAAAGAGATGGCTAGTGGGGCTCCGTCTCTCCCATTATTTGGGATTTCATTTAGATAACCTTCATATATGTATATACTTTAGGAAGCTCTACTGCATTAGGTTTCCACATTACCCCTCAAATGGCCCTTAATTTTAGCTGTCTCTTCCCATGTTCCTTCCCTTGTCCCCCTCTTCCCTCCACCTCTCCACTTAATCCTCCCATCGCAGTCTCCCGCCCCCAAGCATCCATAACTATCTATTTCATGTCCCTTTCCTAGGAATATATCAGCCCCTTGACCCAAGTCCCTTACTGTGTACCTAACCTCTGTGGTTCCACAGACTATACCTTGGTTATCATTGACTTAACAGTTAATATCCACATATAAGTGAATATGTACCATATTTGTCTTTCTTGGTCTGGATCACCTCCCTCAAGATGATTTTTTCTAGTTCCATCCATTTATATGAAAATTTCATGATCTCATTTTTTAACGGCTGAGTAATACTCCATTTTGCAAATATACCACATTTTCTTTACCTATTCTTCTGTTGAGAGAAATCTAGATTGTTTCCAATTCCTGGCTATTATGAATAGAGCAGCAGTGGACATGGTTGAGCAAGTGTCTCTGTGGTAGGATGAAGCATGCTTTGGGTATATGCCCAAGAGTGGCTGTGGTGGTATTGTGTTCCCCAAAATATTGTGTACCCTAATAAACTTATCTGGGGTCAGAGAACAGAAAAGCCACTAGATACTTAGGATAGGCAGTAGTAGCACACGCCTTTAATCCTAGCATTCCAGAGGCAGAAATCCATCTGTTCAAGGATACAGCCAAGCATGGTGACTCACGCCTTTAATCCCAGAAAGCGAGCCTTTAATCCCAGGGAGTGATGGTAGAAAGCAGAAAGGTATATAAGGCCTGAGGGCCAGAAACTAGAAGCATTTGGCTGGTTAAGCATTTGGCCTGGTTAAACATTTGGCTGGTTAAGCATTTGGCTGGTTAAGCTTTCAGGCTTTCGAGCAGCACAGTTCAGCTGAGGTCCATTTGGATGAGGACTCAGAAGCTTCTAGTCTGAGGAAACAGGATCAGCTAAGAAGTTGGCCAGGTGAGGTTAGCTGTGGCTTGTTCTGTCTCTCTGATCTTCCAGTGTTCACCCCAATAACTGGCCTCAGGTTTGATTTTATTAATAAGAACTTTTAAGATTCATGCTACAGTGGCATACCTGGATCTTGAGGCAGATTGATTCCTGTCTTCCTGAGGAACTGCCACGCTGATTTCCATAGTGGCTGTAGAAGCTGACAGGGCCATCAGCAATGGAGGAGTGTCCCCTTGCTCCACACCCTCGCCTGGATGGGCTGTCACTTGTTTTACTGATCTTGGCCATTCTGACTGGTGTAAGATGAAATCTCAAAGTAGTTTTGATTTGCATTTCCCTGATGAATAAAGATATTGAACATTTCTTTAAGTGTTTCTCCTCTTTTGAGAATTCTCTATTTAAATCTGTAGCCCATTTTTAAAAATTGGTTATTTTGTCATCCTGATATCTAGGTTTTTTAGTTCTTCATATATTTTGAATATTAGCCCTCTATCAGGTGTGTAGTTGGTCAAAATCTTTTCCCATTCTGTAAGCTGCTGCTTTGTTTGAATGAGTGTCCTTTGCCTTATAAAAGTTTTTCAGTTTCATAAGGTCCCATTTATTAATTCTCGATCTTAGTGGCTGTGCTAACTAACAGTGTTCTGTACAGAAAGTCTTTTCCTGAGTCAATGAGTTCAAGGTTATTCCCCATTTTCTCTTCTACCTAGATTTATGTTGAGGTCTTTGATCCATTTGGAATTGAATTTTGTTCAGGGTGATAAGAATGGCTCTATTTGGATTTTTCTACTGTAC